GAGATAGTAACAGAGACTGTATCATTTCAAACTACAGGAAGGGCCGTACCACTTTGGAAGCAGAGACCGTACCACTTCAAACTACAGGAAGGGCCGTACCACTTTGGAAGCAGAGACTGTACCACTTTCAAACTATAGGTAGGGTCGTACCACTTTGGAAGGGCCCCCTAAGTAAAAATCTTCCTGAAAATATTTAGCGCATTACGAAAACCATAACAGTGGGCAAAAGGCCAGCCTAGAACATTTTGGTCTGTTTGAAGGGGTGTGTGTGTGTTAACGCAGCATTCAAAAGTGGTACGGCCCTGCCTGTAGACTGAAGCAACTGCCCAAACACATGCCTTCTCCATTGTGGCCCTCACCTTCTGGAACAGCCTATCTGAGGTCATGAAGGCTCCCGCTCCTGGCTGTCTGCAAACGATTTAAACCTAAATGGTTCACAAGAGCTCTTCTACAAAGGCAACAGAGTTGAACTGCACTAAATGATTCACAAAGTTACCTGGGTACGTTATTAGAGACTGCGGTCTATACTACTGCATACAGCTTGCTGAAACAAGGATACTACTAGGCCAGGCTTTTTTTGTAGAAAAATCCCAGCAGGAACTCATTAGCATAATAGGCCACACCCAACAGCAGAAACATATTAGCATATTAGGCTACACACGACAGCACAGCTCATTAGCATATCAAGCCATGCCTCCATATCTTCCCTTGGTTTGCACGGGCACCCCGCGGCTGTGGGGAGCCCAGGCAAGCTAGCCCTTGGACAGGCCAGGGAAGGCAATCCTTCCAGGACCCTCCCTGGCCCGCCCGCCTCTGCAAAGGTTTTGGCTGTAGTGGGCGTGGCCAACTCTGAAGCCAGCCGGAACGCCGTTCCTGTGCGCTCCTGCCCCAAAATAGCCCTGCTACTAGGTAACTTTAACTTCATTTTAATGTGTCATGTTAACACTTATGTTTTGCTTCATGTCTGTTTTTTTAGATTTCTGGTTGATTCTACCACTCTAATTCCTGTCACACTGTTCATTGAATGTCCCATCTTTTCAACTGTATTGCCTCGCTCTGTGTAATCTGTCTTGAGTCCAACGGAGAAAGGCGGACTATAAATGCCGTAAATAAAATAAACAAAATCCCCACTCAGCCATAAAGCTTGTCTTTAACAAAGCTGACCAGTCACTTTTTCTTAGCCTATCCTACTTCACAGGGTTGTTGTGAGGATGAAATGGAGAAGGGAGAAAGGGAGCGGGGCACCACATCTTCCATCGTGAGCTCCTAGGAGGAATAATGGGGGGAAAAATATACTAGATGCATTCAACAAATCTGTAAGGGCAACAACTAAGCACTCGCGGGAGACCCGCATTTTTGAAAAGCCGGCACATACAGGGAACGAGCGCCATAAAATGAAAACAGACACAAATGGGAGGAAATGGAAGCCCGTGTTTTTTTAAAGCTGCAGAAAGGGGCACAAGAACCAGGGCTCAAAGAAGGGAGATGTGTGGGGGCTCCCTCCCCCAACCCCACACTCACCTTGAGCTACCGTGGACTCGCTTGCGTCCCCTGCTGCATTGGTCGCCAAGTCCTCCAGCTGCTGCAGGTCCCGGAGTCGTTCGGCCAGCAGCTGGCTCTGCCGTTTCTGCTTCCGCTTCAGCTTCTTCCGCTTGTTCTTGGACATCTTCCCGTTCTGAGGGGGGAGAAAGCCCCCCCACACCATGTCACAGCCCTGCTGACTCAAGACGCCAAGGGTGCTTGGATAGGGTCAAGCGCACACCGTGCCAGTTTGAATGATCTCAGGCAGAGAAGAGGATTGGAAGCAGGAGGCAAGCCACTGACAGGGCACAGTGAGCACGACAGAGCAGGGTGGAACGTTACTTCAAACACACAACGGGCAAGAGAGGAGTGCCATGCGGACCAGTAAGGGCGGCAAACCGTCTGAGCAACAAATAAGGCCCTGCCAATCAGTACGGTGAATGAGGAAGGGCTAGGGTTCTCAAGCCCCAGCTGGGGGCCTGGAGACGTGCCATGTCCCTGACACGCTAGATTTCATAACGCAGAGACTTTCGTTTTGATCGATAGGAGCATTCACCGGCCGTCTGAGGTGCTACCGTCCTGACCGTGGCCTGGCAGCTCAGTGAGAATGAGACCGCCATTACAAACGCCCTCCCCCCGGAAAAGTGTGGGGGGGGGGCTTGAACAGGGATACCTGTACAAAGCACAAACAAAACACAACAGGAGGATCGTAACCAGAATGGAGTGTGGCCTTTTCAACATGTGCTGACAAAGCAAAGGGAGTCCGAGGTTGGCTCCACTGCAGAAGGAAGCCAAGGGGTGACATGGGGCTATGGCTGCCAACCATCAGGTGGCAGCTGCAGACATCCCAAAAGTACGACCAATGCTCCCTCTGAGCTGTGGAGTCTTGTGAGCAAAAACTCTACTTCTGTGAGCTCCCGGCATTAAAGTTGTGAGCGAACGATTGGGCTGCTGCATGAATTAATTTGCTCTGGAGCCGTCCCTTCCCGAGCTAGGACCAAAAAGGTGTGAGCCGGAGGCTAAAAAACTGTGAGCTACCTCACACTAACTCAGCTGAGAGGGAACACTCTCTATTGTGGCTCTGAGCCACAAGGTACAGATAGGAACTCTCGGTCTGGGGCAAGGGATGCTCTGTCTTCTTGCTGCTTGGGGGGGGGCAACAGTGGGAGGGCTTCTATTGTCCTGGCCCCACTGCTGGACCTCCTGAGGGCACCTGGTATTTTTGGCCACTATGTGACAGAGTGTTGGACTGGATGGGCCTTTGGCCTGATCCAACATTGGCCTCTCTTATGTTCTTAACACTGATTACAGTTGATATCCAGACGACAGAGATCAATTTCCCTCGAGAAAATGGCTGCTTTGGATGGTGGACTTCAAGGTATTGTACCCGGTTAGGGTCTGTCCCTCCCCTCTCCCAACCATGCCCTCCCCTTGAAATCTCCAGGAATTTCCCAACCTGGAGTTGGCAACCCATCTTGGCCAAGCAAAAGTTCAAAAAGCCACAAGAGCAAACGAACAGCACACAGGAACAAAGGGTAACGCA